CCCCCCCCCCCCGTGGTGATTATAAAGCTCCATCTGTCCCCCAAAAATGTTACCATAAATTGCCACGCTATAGTCCGGTCATGCTGACTGGTGAGACACCCTCAAATTTTTTAAGCCCTGTGCATGTTGCACATCACAACCCTTCACCATGGCTATTGACTGATAGCGCCCGCGAGATTTCCTGCCAGGGAAGAACGCATGTCACCCCAACACAGCCTAGAGGTTTCAAGCTTGCGCAATGCAAGCATTTGCGCGATATCGCGCGATTTGCGAACCGCTCAATGTGAACGGCCTCTAAACTGAAATAAAACAATCTAGCTTGGAGCCCAGACCTCCTCGGCTGCCTGGGCCCCTCACACAAGTAACGGCCATACCCCCCTGATGGCGGTCTTGGCCGGGGACTCGGATCGCGCCCCCCCCCCCTGTTCACTTGCGGGACCCCACATGGGGTCGCGACCCACACTTTGAGAAGCACTGGCCTAGAGGACATCCCGGCACCTAAAGGGACGCTGAGAATTTAACAGCGACTGTGCACGTGCCACCCCGGAGTGGAATATGTTCTCCTGAATTGCTCCCCGTCCGGACCCTGTGAGCTGTTACATGGAATAGTCTTTAATTGCATCCTGCAAAAGCAATTGGCCCCATAGCGATTTATGTGATACGGGGCGCACAGAGGGCCCCAGGCCGCTAACTGCACGAGGCTTGTGATGTTTAACACACGTGTGCTGTTTTGTGTCTCCTAATCCACACAGAGCAGCGGAAACCATGATGCATGCACGTGTGATCCGCCGCAGGAGGGGGGCCAAACGCAGGTAATACCAATGAAGGGAACCCGGGGGTTTTATTTCATGGTGCACTCTGGTCAGGGGAGGCATGATGCGTATGATCTGTCCGTGGTAATAAGACTCCTCCCCTTTTGTGACGTGGCTTTAAAGGAGAACTCCGGGCGGGCAGACATTTCATGTCAGTTTGTGGAAAGCTGCATCCTTTGGTTTATATATATATATTTATATACAGATCTCCACCCACTGAGCAGTCCTTACTCGAGTCATTCAGAAAGAGGCACAGTCACCTCTATTTCCCTTTTGGTAAGACCCGTGGCCGCTTTTCCCCCGGCCACATCCCCGTAACAATGTATTTCCTGTAGTCGGAGGACCCGGGCGTTTCATACCCCCCGGTCTGACCTAACCACTAACGTGGTGCAGTTTGATTGACGAGTCAGGTGACTCCTGGTGTACACCCCCATTCACCTCTCTACATATTCTCACAGTCTGCGCCCACAATCCCCTCCATCGAGAACTGTAACTTCCATTGCACGATGGGAGTTGTAGTTTATTCCGGGGCCGATGCCTCCTCCAGGTCCCTGGGCATAGCTGCACTTTCTATATGAAAGCAAGGACATCCTGGATTAGGCTTGGAGGTGAAACACAATAAAAACACCCAGGTTTCTAATGCACTTAAATAGCAGGAAGTGATGGTCAAAGTCAGTAACCGTCCCGGAGTTCAGCTTTAATCTGCCAGTATTCAACTTCCTCCAGACGGGTGACAACACTGTTCATTCTGAAGAGAAATATGACAGCATATTGGTGACAAAACAAATGAAAGCCTCACTCGAGCTAACACTTTTTAAGCAATTACAGCACTACAACACCATAAACCTGTGGCTGTGATTTCAGTGTGTGCCCTTCAGAGCCACAAGGGAGGGATGGAATAGCTGGGCCAGCACAGACAGTAATTAGACACGTGCAGTAATTGTGACGTGGGAAGAGTGAGAGGGCTGTTCTTGGAGGGGGAGGGTGGGTTGTGGTAGGGAATTGGCTCCCTTCAATCGTTGTCTTCATTTTATATGAAATATATATAAAACGAGGTGGGGGGGGCAGAAGTTCTAATTTTTTTTTTTTTTAAATCAAGTTTCGGTGGTAATTATGAAAGATTTTGCCACTTTACCCTCGGTCAGATAGATTGCATGCTCCTGGTGAGGCCGCCCATTATATTAATGGACCAATGGTGAGGCTTGGGAGGTGCGAGGCCCAGTGGCGTAACAATCGCCATAGCGATCCAGGCGGCCGCTATGGGGGCCCGGCCAGGGCATCCCTCTGATGCCGCCTGGGTCGCTATGGCATGTGAGGGTGCTGACTGTCACTGGCAAAGCTCCGCAGCCGCGTTTCCCCCTCACAGCCGCTGCCGAGCTGTGTCAGTGACAGCCAGCAGCTACGGCAGAAGAGGCCGGCGTTCGCATTCGGAGGAGGCGGGGCCCGCCTAAGAGCAACCCCGCCTCCTCTTACGTCACTGGCTAGCGACCTAAGAGCAGGTGGGGCCAGTGATGTAAGAGGAGGCGGGGCCCCGGCGACCACAGAGGCGGACATCGCTGACAGGTAAGAGGTGTGCAGCCCATCTGAGACCCTGCAGAGCCCGCCATAGAGAGTCTATGGTGGGCTCTGCAGGGTCACTCTCAGGTGGGCTGTTTGGTGGGCTCTGCAAAGGCATAACTAACAATCACGGGGGGCCCCATACAACATTTTGCTACGGGGCCCTGTGATTTCTAGTTCCGCCCCCGCCCAGGACGTATCTGCTTGTTCTGCACTCGCAGTGATTTTGTACATTGCCGGCGTTCTTTCTGCAGTTCAGATCCCGGACCGACGCGCTGAGAGAACCGTCCTTTCTGCTCTAATATGTTTTCTTACCTTTTTTATTTCAGACAAGGAAACTACCTCAGTGGATCGTCCATCGCTGGTGCCACCGACTGATGGGCTTCGCCACCCTGTCCATGCCCCAGGCGACACGTCAGCTCCTCCCGCTCAATCAGTATCCACCCAAACCAGCGTCTGCCCGCCCCCGTCCGCGGAGAGCAGCGAGTCAGCCATAGATGCCAGCGCAGTGGATGCTGCTTGCGCTTCTCAGACAGACCACCCGCCTCAGCCCTTGGGACTTTCTGACTCTGCAGAGTCTTCATCTTCTCAGTTATCCAGTGTAGACCAGGCCACGGGGCCCACGGTGGCCCTCAAGGACGCACTAGCTGACTTTGTGCAAGCCCAGCACCGGGGAGATCCTACAAGTCAGAATTCAGCATTTGTTAAAGATCACGATGCCGAGCTGCACGCCGGTCACTCACCTCAGGCTCCTCCTCCTGCTCTTCTGCCTACAAACACGGAGGACACAATGGATGTGGACACACAGACGCCTCTCGCAGTAGCTGCCGCCGAGACCTGCGAACGATATAGTGCCGGCAATGCGCAGCCGCCGTCCTCGGAAAACTCTAGCAACCACCCGGCCTCCTCTGACGCGCCCGGCGCTGCCATTTCTCATGTCGACGACACCCCGCAGGATGGCCCAAAACCATCCCCCGGAACCGACGTAGACGAAAGCTGCTTCTCTCTGGCTGCTGCTCTGAAAGAACTCCATCGATTGTTAGTGGCCAGTGGCCAGGGGCCGTCTAGAGCCACGGAAGAGCCATTTCCTCCGGGTCACCCAGGATCCCTCCAGGACAGGTCATCGGAGGACGCCCCTTCCAAGAAGAATGTGACCGGGGAACGGGACACCAACGGGGCTCTGCTGTGTCGGGGTCCGGTTCAAAAAACCGCAAATTCGGCAATCTCTGAAGACTTGAGACGGGAAGAGAGCAATCTGTCCGAAGACTCCGTACAGGAAGAGCGCAATCTGACCGAAGACTCCGTACAGGAAGAGCGCAATCTGACCAAAGACTCCGTACAGGAGGACAACAATCTGTCCGACGACTACGTACTGGAAGAGCGCAATCTGTCCGAAGACTCCATACATGAAGAGCGCAATCTGTCCGAAGACTCCATACATGAAGAGCGCAATCTGTCCGAAGACTCCGTACAGGAGGACAACAATCTGTCTGAAGATTTGATGCAGGAGGACAACAATCTGTCCGACGACTCCGTACAGGAAGAGCGCAATCTGTCCGAAGACTCCGTACAGGAGGAGAGTGACCTCTGCTATTCTGATATCTCTCTGTTAGACACAGCCGACATCACAGAGCCCCCTGTGTCCAGTCTTCCCTCTGCTGAGGCCACTGATGTGAACGGAAATCCTATCCAAACCTCGCCTGCTGACGACGGACTATCTTGGCCGACTTCTGATCCTGAAGGACGCGTTGGCGGGCAGATCCCCGTTGCGCGACCTACGGCCTCCTCCCCATCTGCTGTAGAGAGGATCGTCCAAGCGGGGTTCCCATTGCATGATGCACGTTTGGCACTGGAGCGCGCTGACGGGAACGTGGAGCTGGCGCTGCTTGCTTTGCTGGCCAAAAATATTGTCGTTCCTACGTAATGTTATCTCTTCACCCCCAAAAAATCTGGAAAGCAGGATTCCGCTGGCCTGTATTTTTCGGAGGGGCGAATCGGCTGCGTCCCCCATGCCAAAATTTGCCGTTCTTGCTCAGCAGAAGAGACGCGTGCAAGCTGCCCAAGCGTGGTCCGGCGAGCAGAAGTCTGGCAAAGCTCCGCAGCCGCGTTTCCCCCTCACAGCCGCTGCCGAGCTGTGTCAGTGACAGCCAGCAGCTACGGCAGAAGAGGCCGGCGTTCGCATTCGGAGGAGGCGGGGCCCGCCTAAGAGCAACCCCGCCTCCTCTTACGTCACTGGCTAGCGACCTAAGAGCAGGTGGGGCCAGTGATGTAAGAGGAGGCGGGGCCCCGGCGACCACAGAGGCGGACATCGCTGACAGGTAAGAGGTGTGCAGCCCATCTGAGACCCTGCAGAGCCCGCCATAGAGAGTCTATGGTGGGCTCTGCAGGGTCACTCTCAGGTGGGCTGTTTGGTGGGCTCTGCAAAGGCATAACTAACAATCACGGGGGGCCCCATACAACATTTTGCTACGGGGCCCTGTGATTTCTAGTTCCGCCCCCGCCCAGGACGTATCTGCTTGTTCTGCACTCGCAGTGATTTTGTACATTGCCGGCGTTCTTTCTGCAGTTCAGATCCCGGACCGACGCGCTGAGAGAACCGTCCTTTCTGCTCTAATATGTTTTCTTACCTTTTTTATTTCAGACAAGGAAACTACCTCAGTGGATCGTCCATCGCTGGTGCCACCGACTGATGGGCTTCGCCACCCTGTCCATGCCCCAGGCGACACGTCAGCTCCTCCCGCTCAATCAGTATCCACCCAAACCAGCGTCTGCCCGCCCCCGTCCGCGGAGAGCAGCGAGTCAGCCATAGATGCCAGCGCAGTGGATGCTGCTTGCGCTTCTCAGACAGACCACCCGCCTCAGCCCTTGGGACTTTCTGACTCTGCAGAGTCTTCATCTTCTCAGTTATCCAGTGTAGACCAGGCCACGGGGCCCACGGTGGCCCTCAAGGACGCACTAGCTGACTTTGTGCAAGCCCAGCACCGGGGAGATCCTACAAGTCAGAATTCAGCATTTGTTAAAGATCACGATGCCGAGCTGCACGCCGGTCACTCACCTCAGGCTCCTCCTCCTGCTCTTCTGCCTACAAACACGGAGGACACAATGGATGTGGACACACAGACGCCTCTCGCAGTAGCTGCCGCCGAGACCTGCGAACGATATAGTGCCGGCAATGCGCAGCCGCCGTCCTCGGAAAACTCTAGCAACCACCCGGCCTCCTCTGACGCGCCCGGCGCTGCCATTTCTCATGTCGACGACACCCCGCAGGATGGCCCAAAACCATCCCCCGGAACCGACGTAGACGAAAGCTGCTTCTCTCTGGCTGCTGCTCTGAAAGAACTCCATCGATTGTTAGTGGCCAGTGGCCAGGGGCCGTCTAGAGCCACGGAAGAGCCATTTCCTCCGGGTCACCCAGGATCCCTCCAGGACAGGTCATCGGAGGACGCCCCTTCCAAGAAGAATGTGACCGGGGAACGGGACACCAACGGGGCTCTGCTGTGTCGGGGTCCGGTTCAAAAAACCGCAAATTCGGCAATCTCTGAAGACTTGAGACGGGAAGAGAGCAATCTGTCCGAAGACTCCGTACAGGAAGAGCGCAATCTGACCGAAGACTCCGTACAGGAAGAGCGCAATCTGACCAAAGACTCCGTACAGGAGGACAACAATCTGTCCGACGACTACGTACTGGAAGAGCGCAATCTGTCCGAAGACTCCATACATGAAGAGCGCAATCTGTCCGAAGACTCCATACATGAAGAGCGCAATCTGTCCGAAGACTCCGTACAGGAGGACAACAATCTGTCTGAAGATTTGATGCAGGAGGACAACAATCTGTCCGACGACTCCGTACAGGAAGAGCGCAATCTGTCCGAAGACTCCGTACAGGAGGAGAGTGACCTCTGCTATTCTGATATCTCTCTGTTAGACACAGCCGACATCACAGAGCCCCCTGTGTCCAGTCTTCCCTCTGCTGAGGCCACTGATGTGAACGGAAATCCTATCCAAACCTCGCCTGCTGACGACGGACTATCTTGGCCGACTTCTGATCCTGAAGGACGCGTTGGCGGGCAGATCCCCGTTGCGCGACCTACGGCCTCCTCCCCATCTGCTGTAGAGAGGATCGTCCAAGCGGGGTTCCCATTGCATGATGCACGTTTGGCACTGGAGCGCGCTGACGGGAACGTGGAGCTGGCGCTGCTTGCTTTGCTGGCCAAAAATATTGTCGTTCCTACGTAATGTTATCTCTTCACCCCCAAAAAATCTGGAAAGCAGGATTCCGCTGGCCTGTATTTTTCGGAGGGGCGAATCGGCTGCGTCCCCCATGCCAAAATTTGCCGTTCTTGCTCAGCAGAAGAGACGCGTGCAAGCTGCCCAAGCGTGGTCCGGCGAGCAGAAGGTTTGGCGGGATTCAATAGCAAAAGCATCGTCAGCACGTTCAACAATGGCCGGCACTGTGTACTTCCCGAAAGCCATGGAAGCAATTTTATTTCATTAGCGGAGAAGAAAAGGACGCCTTGTGTGCTGGAGGATATCTGACCGAAGAGACATTCACGTTTTGTTGAAGAGCCATACTCCCGTTTCCTCCCTTTTTAACGTAGTTCTGAAATTTTCTAAAGGGTATCTGAAGTCCAGTGACGCTTGCTGGCCTATTTCAGCCGTCTGCATGGGGCGTTGTGTACGTGCAGGGCTCGTATAAGGAATATATAACAAGCCTGTTTGCAGCATGATGATCCACTTAATACCCATTTTATCATTCTAAGCCAGTGTATGAATCTGATTAATGCGTCCATAATGTGCCCGGACTTGTCATGGGGCGTCGTGCATTGCTTGTGTGCTGGGAATGGAAACCTGTACTGGATAGGAGAGGTTCCTCTGGATTTAAAGGGACGCTGTCACCGTTCAGGGAAAAGTAACCATGTCTACATATAGTCCACCCTCCCACCTTTTTAAATACTCTCAGCCTCATTCCCTTGCACCTCCCCGCTGCAGCATCCCAACCTCCTCTAAGCTCCGGTGTTTGCTCGTATCGGAGCTTAGACGGAGATAAGGTTGTGCTGCACCATGCCCCCCACGTGACTAGGTTTGGGCCTGATTGTCGCCTAGGGAGGTCACGTGCTCCCCCCTATCCGTCTAGCTATGCAGCTTGGCTTGGTAAATATAACTGCCTTGGGGGGGAAAGGGGGTGCTTTATACTCTGAGACTGCTTTATACTTGAGACTCTGAAGCGTCTTGTGTCCTGTTCTGTAGTCTTGCCAGTTGTTAGGATCTCCTCAGAGTTTTGTGGCTGCAGCACCCAGCAAGTGGGCGTAGGTCACCATGGTATTCTGCAGCTACAGATTGGTACACATGGGCAATTGTACCTACCTTTTATTCTACACTCAGTCCTCTCCCCTGCCCAGGCCATAGATCAGGACTACGTAGGGCTCCGAAAGACTGTCACCTGCCCATTTTGATGGCAAAGCAGCGGTGTCTCCTAAAAGCAATTCCCCCAGCAAAGTTTTACTCGCTGCTCCATGCCCCTCACCCACCTCCCCGCTGTAACTTACCCAGGTGAATGATCTCATGGCCCGTGCCCATGTGTAGCGTTCAGGCCACTGCACATGCTCTGCTATACCTGAAAGACTCGCATTAGAGCAACGCACCGAGGGTCCCTTCACACTGCGTGCATTGGGCTGTATTGCTGAACATGGAGCCAGCCCAGTGACGAGCTGGAGTCCATTGATGCTAATAGGCCCAGTTCAGTGTAGTTGAGAGGCAGTGAGGGAGCATGCGTTATCGGGAGGTGGGAAAGGAGTGTCGCTGTGGGGTGGGCTATCAGGAGGTAAAGTGACCTTGTCTCATTTCATTTTAAAAATAAGTTTTGTTTAAAATTTTCGCCAAAGAATGAGACGCAGAGCAGCCTCTCCCTCCAGGAATGGTCGCTATTGTGTGCCTGGCACTTGAGACGGATCTCTCTCTGCATGTGCTGGCGGCACTGGCGACGGATCTCTCTCTGCATGTGCTGGCGCCACTGGGGACCGATCTCTCTCTGCATGTGCTGGCGCCACTGGGGACCGATCTCTCTCTGCATGTGCTGGCGGCTCTGTAGACGGATCTCTCTCTGCATGTGCTGGCGGCTCTGTAGACGGATCTCTCTCTGCATGTGCTGGCGGCACTGGAGACGGATCTCTCTCTGCATATCCTGGCGGCACTGGAGACGGATCTCTCTCTGCATGTGCTGGCGGCACTGGCGACGGATCTCTCTCTGCATGTGCTGGCGGCACTGGCGACGGATCTCTCTCTGCATGTGCTGGCGGCACTGGCGACGGATCTCTCTCTGCATGTGCTGGCGGCACTGGCGACGGATCTCTCTCTGCATGTGCTGGCGGCACTGGCGACGGATCTCTCTCTGCATGTGCTGGCGGCACTGGCGACGGATCTCTCTCTGCATGTGCTGGCGGCACTGGCGACGGATCTCTCTCTGCATGTGCTGGCGGCACTGGCGACGGATCTCTCTCTGCATGTGCTGGCGGCACTGGCGACGGATCTCTCTCTGCATGTGCTGGCGGCACTGGCGACGGATCTCTCTCTGCATGTGCTGGCGGCACTGGCGACGGATCTCTCTCTGCATGTGCTGGCGGCACTGGCGACGGATCTCTCTCTGCATGTGCTGGCGGCACTGGCGACGGATCTCTCTCTGCATGTGCTGGCGGCACTGGCGACGGATCTCTCTCTGCATGTGCTGGCGGCACTGGCGACGGATCTCTCTCTGCATGTGCTGGCGGCACTGGCGACGGATCTCTCTCTGCATGTGCTGGCGGCACTGGCGACGGATCTCTCTCTGCATGTGCTGGCGGCACTGGCGACGGATCTCTCTCTGCATGTGCTGGCGGCACTGGCGACGGATCTCTCTCTGCATGTGCTGGCGGCACTGGCGACGGATCTCTCTCTGCATGTGCTGGCGGCACTGGCGACGGATCTCTCTCTGCATGTGCTGGCGGCACTGGCGACGGATCTCTCTCTGCATGTGCTGGCGGCACTGGCGACGGATCTCTCTCTGCATGTGCTGGCGGCACTGGCGACGGATCTCTCTCTGCATGTGCTGGCGGCACTGGCGACGGATCTCTCTCTGCATGTGCTGGCGGCACTGGCGACGGATCTCTCTCTGCATGTGCTGGCGGCACTGGCGACGGATCTCTCTCTGCATGTGCTGGCGGCACTGGCGACGGATCTCTCTCTGCATGTGCTGGCGGCACTGGCGACGGATCTCTCTCTGCATGTGCTGGCGGCACTGGCGACGGATCTCTCTCTGCATGTGCTGGCGGCACTGGCGACGGATCTCTCTCTGCATGTGCTGGCGGCACTGGCGACGGATCTCTCTCTGCATGTGCTGGCGGCACTGGCGACGGATCTCTCTCTGCATGTGCTGGCGGCACTGGCGACGGATCTCTCTCTGCATGTGCTGGCGGCACTGGCGACGGATCTCTCTCTGCATGTGCTGGCGGCACTGGCGACGGATCTCTCTCTGCATGTGCTGGCGGCACTGGCGACGGATCTCTCTCTGCATGTGCTGGCGGCACTGGCGACGGATCTCTCTCTGCATGTGCTGGCGGCACTGGCGACGGATCTCTCTCTGCATGTGCTGGCGGCACTGGCGACGGATCTCTCTCTGCATGTGCTGGCGGCACTGGCGACGGATCTCTCTCTGCATGTGCTGGCGGCTCTGTAGACGGATCTCTCTCTGCATGTGCTGGCGGCGCTGGAGACAGATCTCTCTGCATGTGCTGGCGGCTCTGGAGACGGATCTCTCTGCATGTGCTGGCGGCACTGGAGACGGATCTCTCTCTGCATGTGCTGGCGGCTCTGTAGACGGATCTCTCTGCATGTGCTGGCTTATAGGTGTGTAATCTGTTGTGTGGTCACATGGCTTTGGCCCCTATTATCACAGACGTTCTCCATGAGCATTGCTGGGGGCGCTGAGGACGGCTCGATCCGATCCATTCAATTGCTACAACAGAATCTAACGTAGTCCGTTGCCGGGGGAAAGACGGCGCGCGGGAGGCCGAGGGCGATCGGTGCTTGCCGATGCCAAACCGCTGCTTTAGCAATGTGTGTTTTTATTCAGGAGAATGCCGGCTCGTTATTTTAGGAAATGTCGATCTTCATTTTGTTTTGTTTTTTTAATTCTTTCCGGATTGTATAGTCGTTGCCTTAATCCACCTTTTACAGTACGAGATCGTTCTTCTGATGGCTCGCACAATGTCAAATAAATCGCATTTGGGTATTTATATCAATGTCCCGTCTTCCTGAGGTTACTGACCACGAGCTGCGTGCTGTGTGTATGTTGCTGTGTGTATGTTGCTGGCGTGTGTGTGTGGGGGGGGGGGGGGCCTTTTTTTTTGTGGTGATGAGGGAGACGTCTTGTGTGTGTTTGGTTTTGTAGGACTGGGGGGGAGCCGTGTGTGACATTTTGGGAATACAGATGGGTCCTGCTTTGGTATAATGCAGGGGGTAGCCAAACTCCGGCCCTCCACCTGTGGTGAAACTACAAATCCCATGATGCATCTCTCTCCGGGAGTCGTGGCTGTGAGAATCTGGCAATGCCTCATGGGATTTGTAGTTCCACCACACAGCTGGAGGGCCGGAGTTTTGGCTACCCCTGGTGTAATGGTTTCTTCTAGGGGTGCACCCATCCCGGTTTTTCGGTATGAAGTACGAGTACCGGTGCTTCTGCTGCCATGGAGCCGGCTTCCCCATCAATCTGATTGCCCGAGAAGCTGGCTCCATGTTGTCTGGCCGGCTTCCGATTGGCTGGGATGCCAGTTTCCCGGCCCAGCACAAGCGGCATCGAGCCGGCTTCCAGGACAATCGGGAAGCCAGGTGGCGAGCAATGACCCAGCTTCCTGATTGGCTGTGTAGCCGGCTTTCCAGACAATCAGCATCGAGCTGGCTCCCCGGCCACTCGGGAAGCTTGGAGGCGGGTCATTACTCCCCGCCTCGCTTCCTGATTGGCCGGGAAGCCGGCTCGATGCTGATTGGCTGGGTAGCCGGCTTTCCAGCCAATCAGATGGGGGCCGGCTCTACGCTGGATGGCCAGCTTTCCAGCACGAAGCCGTGTTCCTCACCAATCAGGAAGCAGGGAGGCGGGTCATTACTCGCCGTCCAGTTTTCCTGATCGCAGGGGAAGCTGGCTCCATGTTCCCCCTACGGCACCACCAGTCAGATAAAATGTTCCTCTGACCGGAAGTTCCAGTATG